AACCAGGAAACCTCCTGGAGGAAGGGAATGTCTTTGGATTACCAGAGACAGAATTCAAAAAAGTAATATACAGAGCTCTTCAAGATATCAGAAGAAGATCAGGCAAAACTCAGACCAAGGCAAGGAACACACAGAGAAAGCAATAGAGGAATTCAGAAAAGCTATACAAGATCAGAATGACAAATTTAATAGGCTGCTAGAATCCACAGGGAGACAGCAAACAGAAATCCAAAAGACTGACAATAAAATTTCAGATATGACAACTCAATACGAAGTCATAGGAGCAGAACTGATGCAATGGAAGTCAGAATTAGTGAGACTGAAGATAAAGCACTTGACACCAACTTATTTGAGGAAAAATCAAATAGAAGGATTTTAAATAATGAAGAAACCCTAAGAACTATGTGGGACACTATCAAGAGGAATAACCTGTAAGTGACTGGAGTACCACAACAAGGTGAGGATAACAAAAAATACAGACAGAACTGTTGAAGATTTGCTGGCAGAAAAACAAGAAGATATCCATCCAAGATGCTTACTGAACCCTACACAGAGTAGATCCCAAAAGAAAGTCACCAAGACATAATAAAACTTGCCAAAACCAAAGATAAAAGAATTTTAAAAGCAGCCAGGGATAAACAAAAAGTGATCTACAAAGGAGAGTCAGTAAGACTTGGCTCTGACTACTCAGCAGAAACCAGGCAGTTCAGAAGGCAATGGGATGACACATATAAAGCCTTGAAGGGAAAATAATTGCCTGCCAAGAATTATATATCCAGCAAAACTGTCTCTCAAATATGAAGGCAAAATTGGGGCATTTTCAGATAAACAGAAGTTAAGGAATTTGTAAAAACCAAACCAAAATTACATGAAATATTAAAGCCGTCCTCTGGCTAGAGAACCAACAATATCAGATTAACAACTTAAGGCTAGAACACAGGACAGAACAACCAGATATCCACCCAGATAGGAAAGTCACAAATATAAGTCAAAGCTAAAACACTGAAAATAGGGAAACAGAAGTCAACATGTAAAAGATGTCAACATTATAAAAGAGGAGCTAAATAGTGTAGTTACAGAACTTTCATGTGTAGAGGAAGTTAAGGCAATATCAACAAATAAAAAGATTGATTTAAACTTAGAAAAATAGATGTAAATTTTTAGGTAACCACAAAAGAAACTAACAAATCTACCCATCAAATAAAAAAAGAAGAAAAACATAAAGACTCAGCAAATACAAAATCAATAATGAAAACACATAAAGAAAAACGACTTAGCACAGAAAATTAAACGAACAAAAAAACTGTCAACACCACAAAAAAAAAATACATCAAAATGACAGCATTAAACGCATACCAATCAATAATTACATTGAATGTAAATGGATTAAATGCACCAATAAAAAGACAGAGTAGCGGAATGGATAAAAAAACATGATCCATCTAAATGCTGCCTACAAGAGACACACCTTAGCCTCAAAGATACAAACTAAAACTCAAAGGATGAAACAAAATATATATATCAAGCAAACAACAATCAAAAAAGAGCAAGGTAAAGCAAACAACAATCAAAAAAGAGCAAGGTAAGCAGCCATCTAATATACTCCACTAGTTTCACCCCATGGGGAGCAAGGGAGAATGAAGAAAACTACAGACACAAGGGAAAGATTAGTCCAAAGGACTAACGGACAACAACTACCACAGCCTCTACCAGATTGAGTCCAGTACATCTAGATGGTGCCCAGCTACAACCACCGACTGCTCTAACAGGGATCCCAATAGAGGGTCCTGGACAGAAATAGAGAAAAAAGTAGCACAAAACTCTAACTCACAAAAAAAGACCAGACTTACTGGCCTGACAGAGACTGGAGAAACCCCAAGAGTATGGCCCCCAGGCATCCTTTTAGCTCCGTAATGAAGTCACTCCTGAGGTTCACCCTTCAGCCAAAGATAAGACAGGCCCATAAAACAAAACAAGACTAAAGGGGCACACCAGCCCAGGGCAAGGACTAGAAGGCAGGAGGGGACAGGAAAGCTGGTAATAGGGAAACCAAGGTCAAGAAGGGAGAGTGTTGAGATGTCATGGGGTTGGTAACCAGTGTCACAAAACAATATGTGTACTGTTTAATGAGAAGCTAGTTTGTTCGGTAAACGTTCATTTAAAGTATAATTTAAGAAAAAGAAAACAGCAGGAGTGGCAATATTAATCTCCGACCAAATAAACTAAAGCAAAATCCAGCACAAAGGATAAGGAATGACACTATATAATGATTGAAGGGTCAATACACCAGGAGGACATAACCATAATAAATTTATACGCATCCAACGACAGGGCTCCAAAATACATAAAGCAAACTCTAACAGCATTGAAAAGAGAAACAGACAGCTCGACAATAATAGTAGGAGACTTCAACACACCACTTTCAGTGAAGGACAGAATATCTAGAAAGGAGCTCAATGAAGACAGAGAAGATCTAAATGCCACAATCAACCAACTCGACCTCATAGACATAAAAGAACACACCACCCAAGAGTAGCCCAGTATATTTTCTTTCCCAACACACATGGAACATTCTCCAGAATAGACCACATATTAGGCCACAAAGCAAGCCTTAACGGAATCCAAAGCATCAAAATATTACAAAGCATCTTTTCTGACCATAAAGCCATAAAAGCAGAAATCAGTAACACAAAAAGCAAGGAAAAAAAATCAAATACATGGAAACTGAACAACACCTTCCTCAAAAACTACTGGGTTATAGAAGAAATTAAGGATGGAATAAAGAAATTCACAGAATCAAATGAGAATGAAAACACATCTTACCAGAACCTTTGGGATACAGCAAAAGCAGTGCTCAGAGGTCAGTTTATAGCAATAAATGCACACATCCAAAAAGAAGAAAGGGTCAAAATCAAAACATTAACCCTATAACTGGAACAAATAGAAACAGAGTAGCAAAAGAAGAAAAGAAATAGTAAAGATTGTAACAGAAATAAAGAATAGAAAAACAACTGAAAGAGTTAACAAGACCAAAAGCCAGTTCTTTGAAAAAATCAACAAAATCGATAAACCACTGGCCAAACTGACAAAAGAAAAACAGGAGAGGAAGCAAATAACCCAAATAAGAAATGAGATGGGTGATATCACAACAGACCCAACTGAAATTAGAAGGATCATAACAAAACACTACGAAAAATTGTACTCCAACAAATTTGAAAACTCAGAGGAAATGGACAAATTTCTAGAAACACACTACCTACCTAAACTAACACAAACTGAGGTAGAAAAACTAAATAAACCTATAACAGAAGAAGAGATCAAGGCTTCTTCTCCGAGAAGACACCAAATGGCAGATGACGTCAGTGCACCAGGAGGGCCTGAAGGCCCCAGGGGCCTGGGGATAGGAACCAGTGGCGGCTTCCAGGGAGGCTTAGGCAGCAGCCTGCGGGGCTGGAGTCACAGCCGTGTTTGGGGCTGCGGCCAAGGCCGCAGAGCTAGCAGAGGCAAAGTTGAGGAGAGAGAGTGGCTCCCCATCACCAAGCTGGGCTGCCTGGTCAAGGACATGAACATCAAGTCCCTGGAGGTGATCTATCTCTTCTCCCTGCCCATCAAAGAGTCTGAGATCATTGTTTTCTTCCTGGGGATGGCCCTCAAGGATGAGGTTTTGAAAATCATACCTGTGCAAAAGCAGACATGTGCTGGCTGTCCAGCGGACCAGGTTCAAGGCATTCGCTGCCATTGGGGACTACAACAGCCATTGTCAACCTAGGTGTTAAGCGCTCTAAGGAAGTGGCCACCACCATTCGCGGGGTCATCATCATGGCCAAGCTCTCCATCGTCCCTGTGTGTCAAGGCTACTGGGGGGAACAAGACTGGCAAGCCCCATACTCTTCCCTGCAAGATGACTGGCCACTGCGGTTCTGTGCTGGTGCACCTCATCCCTGTGTCCAGAGGCACAGGCATAGTCTTGGCCCCTGTGCCCAAGAAGCTGCTGATGATGGCCAGTACTGATGACTGCTATACTTCAGCTAGTGGCTGCACTGCCACCTTGGGCAACTTCGCCAAGGCCACCTTTGATGCCATCTCCAAGACCTACGGCTATCTCATTCCTGACCTCTGGAAACAGACCCTGTTCACCAAGTCTTCCTATCAGGAATTCATTGACCATCTAGTAAAGATCCACACCAGTGTCTCAGTGCAGAGGACCCAGACTCCAGCTGTGGTGACCACATAGTGGTTTTTATACAAGAAAGATAAAGTGAATTAAGACTGAGAGAAAAAAAAAGGAGAGACTGAAGAGGAACTGGCTGAATGGACACAAGAAACCTGGGTAGAAAGGAGGAGTGTGCTGTCACATTATAGGGCTTGCAACTAATGTCACATAACAATAAGTGTAAAAAATTTTTGTATGAGACATTAACTTGAGCTGTAAACTTTCACATAAAGCACAATAAAAAAAAAGAATAAATAAATAAAAGATTTAAGAGATGTAATATTCAAATGCAGTGAGCAACCATAATTGGATATTACTGTGAACAAATCCTAAAAGACACTTTTGGAACAAATGGAAAAATCTAAATGTAGACTAGATTTTTGTTTATGTATAATGATATTTTGATTAGTGTTTAGTGGTGTATCGTAACTGTAATTCAAAATGTTTAAAAAATATTTTTTTAAGTCAACAAAGGTTACCTGCTCAGTTAGTCCTTTTCTACAAAAGTAAAGCAAAGGAATACTTTTTTCATAAATTGAATAAACATTTTTTTTTAATTAGTTTTCTAACTTTAAAGATAAAAATCAACCAATTGGTAAGTCTGATCATTTTCAACACAATAATCAAATGTTGAAAAAAAAAAAAGGAATTCATTTTTAAGCTAATGTGGTGTTTGCATAATTTGAACTGCATACTTGGGGATTAACACCACATAAACAGCAGGCAAGGGGGATACTGAAACAATAAAATAAATCAGCAAAAGAAAGGTGGGCAGGATGGAACTTACTTTTTTTGATATCATTCCAGCACCTGCACTGCGCTTTACATTTCTGACTATGCTACATTCCATTACAATAAACTCCTCCAGCTGTTTGGGATGGCACAAACTATTGAAAGGGTGACTCCAAAAAGTGCTCCCATCAATATCTGCAACTAAGAACAAATGTAGGACATTAAAAAACAGGAGAATTAAAGGATTTCAAAGAGCTGTCAAATGTGTTCATAGGGAAGGAGTTAGAATGAACCACAGTGTCACCTCACACTCCAAGATCATCATTTATTCCTATAAATCAGCCCCAAACTTCTCAAAGCAAGAGAAGTATCAGGTATCACACATATCTTAAGTAGTCACTATGATCAGAATGCCACAGAGCTAAATGCCTTTTAAATAAGATCAGATCCAATCAGTTGTATAGATGCTTCATGTGCTCGCATTTTATTTTAGAAACATATTGGTCCTCTTAGCTGCTTCCGGTTATTGTTAGCTGCTGTCCAGTTGGCCCCGATCCGTGGTGGCCTTATGAATAACAGAACAAAACACTGCCCTCTTCATGATCATTGGTATGTCTGAGTCCACTATTTCCATTGTGTCCATTGTGGCTACTGTGCCAATCCATTTCATTAAGGATTCCCCCTCAGCTGCATTCTACCTGGCAGATACCAGATGTCCACCCCAATACTGTAAACAGGCCCTGACAAACGAATTTCAACTGATAAAGATAATGAATAACTTTCAGAAAAATCTCAATAAGAACAAAAAAGAACGATTTTTAGTAACCGAATACTTCCATTAAAATATATAAAAGATCAAAAAGAAGATGCAGTCAAATACTGTGATACCTGTCAATATGGGGGGTCTTCGTTAAAAAACAATTTCTATAAAGGAAATGGTAAAAAAAAAGATCTAAAATAGTGAAAATTCAGGCTCAAACTAAATGTTCTATTGGATCACAAAAAGTCAAATGTTCCCATCTTTAAAATACTTGCTAAATATACACTAAAATTTGACATAAGCTTAACTTACTAGTCACAAAAATTAAACTAGTAAATAAATAAGTTGGTTTTAACAAAAACTATTGGAACATAATAACTAGTAAATTCTTAAAAGTTCACAGAACTGTTTCCCTAAATAAGTAATACCTAACCAAAAGCTTTTTAATTCCAATTTTTACTGGTATTAAACAATAGTAAAAAACTTAACTAGTTTTTCAAAACAATGTTGTTAACATTTTATAAAATTAACAACAAAAATTACTACATTTTGCTATACCGAACAGAACTGTTAATAGTTCCCAAAACTTACCTTGTAGCGTGTTGGGATCTATAAGGTGAATGGCATTGGTTACTCGAATACACACACAAATCTGGTTCATATTTCCCAGGCTTTGAGCCAATTTTGGAGACAGACAGACAACATTATCCTAGGAATAAGTATTAACATTTAAAATGAGGCAAATCATAAATAACAGTCTCTAATAAACACTCATTAATGTAAATCTAGTCCAACTGCATTTGCCCAAACCAAAGTTATTTTTAATTCTATTATCAACAAAGGGCCTAAAGAAAAGAATCAGATCTTACAGGAACAGAAAGTAAGCTATATCTTCTTAAAATGGGCATATTTAATAAAAATGCTTTAAAAAATATCATCTTCCAGAGCCTATTCATTATACTATTATTAAATTTATTTCAATTTTATTGAAGTTTGAATGCTTGCTTACCATGATATACGTCAATACAATGTACATTCCAAGCAAACTATTACAAACATCAGGAAGAAAGTGGTTTTCTAAATCTACCAGATGACTTCTTTAAATCTCCATAAAAAATAAATTTCAAAGGAACAAAGTGTTTCTCTTACATAGCTACATGTACTAATATGGAATTAAAGATTTAATGCCCAAAAGAAGCGTACATGTCAGTATACATTGGGAAATACTAACCATCAATGCAATTATCTGTTTGTAAACTGTATTAAAATGTAAGAGGGATCTGAGTTTTATTTTAAGCTATATCTTTTCACAATCAAGGGCTCCTCCATTGAAGGAACATTCTGTGCGTCCCTAATTGTACCTGACCCAGTATTTTTTTTTTTTTTAATAAGAGTCTCCAAAGACAAATGAAAATACTCTTTACATTATGTATTCCTCCAGTGCTTGTAAGAGTCACTCAAAGCAATTAATACACAAGGTCTTAACGTGCTCAAATTTTGTGCCAGGAAAATGTTCACTGTTTTAAACTAGGGGTCAGGAAAGTACAACCTTCAAGACAAATGTGGCCCACCAGTATTTTTGTGAGTAAAGTTTTGTTGGATCACAGCCACAGCCAATCGTTTACATATTATCTATGGCTACTTTTGTGCTACAACAGCAGACTTGAAAAGTTGCAAGAGAGACTGTATAGACGGCAGAGCAGAAAATGTTTACTATCTGGCCCTCTACAGAAAAAGTTTGATGAGCCTGTTTTAAGCCATCGTTTCACCCCTGGTACTGGGCTCCACCATAAATTAGTGATAATAGCTTTAAAGCTTTAGAGTCACAGACCTGGGAGCAAATCCTAGCTTCAACATTATGTAACTCTGGGCAGGTCATGTAACCTCAAGATTCAATTTCCTTGTCTTTAAAATGAAGGTATGACTTACCTGAGTTATTACGAGAAATGAACAAGATTAAGATACTAAAGTACCTTGATACTAACTTTATGTAGAATGGTCACAATAAATTACAACATCTCATTATTAGTAATTTAATACTGACATATAAATTCCTACACGGTAGAGACCTATAGATTACATAATTCTTAGTACACTGCCTCCTATACAGTGAATTAGCTGAATTTTAATTCATTTATATTTTTGAAGCAAGGTTGTTACCTTACTACACTTAAATGAACTGATAACCTACATTTTAAATGTGTTATTTAGATTATGTTTTTAAATCACAGAAATGATTCTCTGATTTCTATAATAATTAATTGTTTAATTTCAGCTTTCCAAAATCCAATCTGCACACATGTTCCACAAAGTGGTTCTCTGATACTTATTTTAATGTTATTTCCTGTATTCAAAATTCTATGTAACTGTCATATGCCCACTAGAATCACAAATTTTAAGAAATATGGACCTTTAAAAATTGCAACCAGGCCTTTTCATTGTGATTTATAAAAATGAAAGTCTTGTCAATTTATAATTTTAAGCATAATTACTTTTTTACATCTTTTTAATGTGGATGAATGTGTCAGAAATCATGTAAAAAGGAAGTTATTCTGAATTTTTAACCAACCCCAGAAGGAAACCAGGAGCGAATAATTACATATAAACCAATTAATTACTTGTACTCTTTTACAGATATGAATTAAATGAGGAAAAAAATACCTTGCATATTGGAACAATTTCCACAGAAAAAGTGCTTTTGTAATTGTATGTGTTACTATGGATATCCTGAGAGATCAATCTCTGGGATGCTTTGTACCTATTAAGAAAAAAAAGTTAACAGTAATTTAAAGACAAGCTCCTTACTGGCCTAGACTCAGAATATTCATTTTTCATCAAAATCAAATCATCAGTGTCCAAGGTTTGAAATGACTTCCTGATGCCTGCTATGGTAAAGGCTAACTTCATCCACTTGCGTTTCAAAACTTTCACCAAGCTGACTATACCGTACCTATTAAACCTTATCTACCAAAAATCTCCAAAACATGGCCTTGGCTCAGACCAACCCAGTCTACATATAGCATCCATTAAAACCCATGAGCTTTGTTCACACTAATCTCCTCATCTTTCAGTAGAAACTCCACCTATGAAAATTTCCCCATCTTTGGAGCCCAAGTCCTACATCCTCCACGAAGCCTCTCAAAGCACTCTATCCTCTCTTAATATTTAAATATTTACAATCCACGGATCTGCACTACCAAAAAACCAAAAACCTGTTGCCGTCGAGTCAATTCCTACTCATAGCAACCCTATAGGACAGAGTAGAACTGCCCCAGAGGGATTCCAAAGGAGTGCCTGGTGGATTCGAACGGCCGACCTTTTGGTTAGCAGCCGTAGCTATTAACCACTATGCCACCGGACTACTCTTAATTATCATATGTCTTAGTTCTAGCTCCTCAATGAAATTCTTAAATACTTCTTTGGCTACTATTTACCCTAAGGTGGCTAATCCAATAAATACTTACTGGTTGTGTAAATATACCCCTACTACAGTTTAAAATATTTTAACATCAGAGAATATGTCTAGGAAACCCTGGTGGCATAGTGTTAATCCACCAGCTGCTCCTTGGAAACTCTATGGGGTAGTTCTACTCTGTCTAAGCCTGAAGAATGAACGTGACCTACACTCATCCCAGCTCCTTGAATTTAGTCATATTCAGGTTCAGAACATACCTGCAGGGAACTGTAAACTGAAGAAATTCTACCATCTTCTGAGCATGTTGTTTTGAGGAATAGTAGAAATCCAGACCATCTTTTAAAAAAGAAAAAAACCCACATGAGAATAACTGCAAAATAAGATTTTCTTCCACCAACATGACATTACAAATTAAATCTATATCAAACAACAAAATCAAAGTATTAGAAAATAAAAAATATACTATATTGTGGCCACAATAGATTAGGGATGTCATTTAAGACTCACCTGGCAAAAAGATGGGCAAAATAAATCTGAGAAATGCTAGCAAAGGAAAACAATACTCAAAATTTTAATTTCACACAAAATAAAATTCAGTGCCAAAGGGGAAGAAAAACACCAAACAGAACCATGAAGGGCATTTTATGTAATAAATGGAACAATCTACCAAGAAGATAATATGCTAATAACACTGCACTGAAACGAATAAAACAAAAACCATTAAAAAGAAAAAATTAACAAATGTTAACAAATGCACAATCATTGTGGGGAACTGAAACAAGTTTCCCTCAAAACAGAAATGATCAAATTGAGAAAAAATAATAAGGATACAGACAACTTGAATTCAACAGTCAAAGTTGATTTAATAAAGATGTATATAACATAGTCCCAAGAAAGAATACATACTACTTTGAAATAGTCATAGAACATTCGTAGATAATCATGAACTAGGAATTTAAAAAATTCAATAAATTCCAAAAGGTAGAAATTACTAGAAACAACATTATCCAATCACAATGCAGCAGCATAAAAATCAGCAACGAGAGTGAAATAAGTCAGTCACAAAAGGACAAATATTGTATGAGACCTCTATTGTAAAAACCCATGAAAAAGTTCACACACAAAATGTAATAAACTCTGTTGGTTACCAGGGATGGGAGGGGTGGGGGGGGGAATACTAAATAGGCAATAGTTAAGGGGTATCTTGGGTGAAGGGTGAGACAGTACACAATACTGGGGAAACCAGCACAACCTGTACAAGGAAAGGTCATGGAAGCCCCAGAGACACATCCAAACTCCCTGAGGGACTGAATTGCTGGGCCAAGGGCTGTGGGGACCATGGTCTCGGGGAACATCTAGCTCAATTGGCATGACACAGCCTATAAAGACAATGCTCTACATTCTACCTTGGTGAGTAGTGTCTGGGGTCTTAAAAGCCTGTGAGCGGCCATCTAAGATACTCCACTGGTCTCATCCCTTCTGGAGCAAGGGAGAATGAAGAGAACAGGATACAAGGAAAAGGGTAGTCCGAAGGACTAATGGTCCACAGCTACCAAGGCCTCCACCGGACTGAGTCCAGTACAGCTGGATGGTGCCCAGCTACCACCACTGAGGGTTCTGGACAGAGCTTGAGAAGGATGTAGAGCATAATTCTAACTCACAAAAAAAAGACCAGATTTACTGGCCTAAAGGAGACTGGAGAAACCTCGAGAGTATGGCCCCCAGACACCCTTTTAGCTCAGTGGTGAAGTAACCTCCGAGGTTCACTGTTCAGCCTGGGAGTGGACAGCCCCGTAAAACCAAATGAGACTAACGAGGTACAGGAGTCCAGTGACAAGGGCCACAAGGCAGAAGGGGACAAGGAAGCTGGTGATAGGGAACCCAAGGCTGAGTAAGGATATTGTTGATGTGTTGTGAGATTGTTAACCATTGTCATAGGGCAACATTTGTAGTAACTGTTAAATGAGAAACTATTTTGTTCTGTAAGCCTTCATCTTAAGTGAGAATAACAGCACAATTAGAAGAGCGTAGTCAATGTCACTGAACTGTGTATGTAGAAATTTTCGGAACGGTGTATCTTTGGCTATGTGTATTTTCACAAAAAAAAAAAAAATGTTGAGAAGTTAGAGGGTTAATATGTTGTGGGGTTGTTAACCAATGTCATAAAACAACATGTGTACTACTGTTTCATGAGAAACTATTTGTTCTGTAAGCCTTCACCTGAAGTACAAAAAAATATATATATAAAAAAAAAAAACTTGCAAAAAAAATCAGCAACGAAAGGATAGCCAAAAGCAAACCTACCTGTCATGAAATGTTTAAAGACCTTCTTGTAAATAACTCAGCTAAATAATAAAATTACCTAGAATAGCCACAACAATTTTTAAGAAGGTTAAAAACATGTATCTTCTCAATTTCAACACTCACTATAAAGTTAAGTAATCAAGACAATGTGGTATTGGCATAAGGACAAATATACAGATCAATACAACAGAACTAAGTGCAGGGGCGGATTAGCCAATAAACAAGGTAAGCACGAGCTTATTTGTGCTTACTTGCTAATCTGCAGTGAACTTGTGCTTACTTACTAATCTGTAGTGACCAATTTCACAAGGGTTTCACCACATGATGTGTAAGTAAGCACAAGTAAGCCCGTGCTTACCTTGCTTACTGGGTCATCTGCCCCTATCAGGGATTGTAAATTTGAAAAGAGGCTTTGATTTTGTAGGAAGGTGCTGTGGGGTTGGGAGAGAGAAAGATGTCAGCCACACCTAGAAGCAGAATCTTTGATGTGGTGAAAAAATGTGAAATTGTTCACTACAGATGGTCTGGTAAGCAAGGTGAGCATATGCTTATTGGAAAAGCTGTCCCTGCCTAAGTGTAAGAGCTAAAACTATAAAACTTTTAAAAGAATCCATAGGAGAAAATCCTCATGACTTGGGTTAGACAGAGTTCTTAAACACAACACCAAAAGCATGACAGATAAAAGAAAAATAATGATAAACTGGACTTCATCCAAATTTAAAACTTTTACAATTCAGAAGTCACCATCAAAAAGAATGAAAAGACAAGCTACAGACTAGGAGAAAACATTTGCAAATTACATATGTGATAAGAGACTCGTATCCAGAACATATAAAGAACGCCAACAATTCAATAAGACGATCCAATCAAAAAATGAGCAAAATATCTGAAAGAAGATATACCCATTGCTGTCAAGTCGATTCCGACTTATAGCAACCCTACAGGACAGAGTAGGACCACCTCGTAAGGTTTCCAAGGCTGTAATCTTTACGGAAGAAGACTGCCACATCTTTTTCCAATGGAATGACTGTTAGGTTTGAACCATCAACCTTTCAGTTAGCAGCCAAGTGCTTCACCACTATACCACCAGGTCTCCTTAAAGAAGATACAGCAATGGCTAATACGCTCATGAAAAGATGCTCAACATCACTACCAAAAAAAGCCAAACCCATTGCCGTCAAGTCAATTTCAACTCATAGTGACCCTGTAAGACAGACTAGAACTGCCCCATAGGGTTTCCAAGGAGCAGCTGGTGAATTCAAACTGCCAGTCTTCTGGTTAGCAGCAGGGTTCCTAACCAGTGTGCCACCAGGGCACCACATCATTAGGAAAATGCAAATTAAAACTACAATGAGATACTACATCATACCCCCTAGAATGGCTATAATCAAAAAGACAGACAATAATAAGTGTTGATGAAGATGTAATAAAATGGAACCCTCAAACATTGTTGTGGGAATGTAAAATGGTACAGCCACTTTGGAAACAGTGTGACAGTTTTTAAAAAAAAAATAAATATAAATTAACCATATGATTCTGTCAATTCCACACCTACATATGTAGCCAAGAGAAATCAAACAGCTGAGGTGCTTCCTGAGGGCAAAGGAAATATGGAATGGGTAGTGGAAGTAGCTACAGAGGCAATATGATACTGAAAAGAAAATTTATAACCTTAAGTATATTTATTGGAAACTGAAAATAAATAAACTAAGCTTTCAATTAATTCAAACAAAATAAAACTGAAGAAAGTAGAATTAAGTGACAAAGCAAAAATTAAGAAAAATAAGACTTTTCAATAAAACAAAAGCAATTCTTAAAAAAAAAAAACTAACATAATAGATAAAACTTTGGCAAGTGTGACCAAGGAGGAGGGGAGAGAAAATGAGAAAAGACAAACATTAGGAACAAGGGGACACAACTACCGTTGTGGATGAGATTTGAGATTATGAGAATATATTATGCTTAATTTTATGCCAAGTATGTGAAAAGCTAGATGAAATGGTTTATTTTCTTAGGAAATGCTATCAAAATTGATTCAAGAAGAGGCAGAAAACCTGAAAACTATTACTGATCTTAAAAGAAACTGAAAACATTTACACCACTTCCCAGTAAGGCACCAAATGGTGGATGGCTTAGTGGGCAGGTTCTTACAAACCTTCAAAAGGTAGATAATCCTAAGTAGAAAGATGGCAAGCTTTTTAATTCTTCAATGTCACAAACATAACAGATACCAAGATTGGGCAGAATAGCATTAAGTATGTAAAAGTATGTATGTATATGTATCAAATGGAAACTGACAACAAACATCATACTTCGGGGTGAAACATAAGATAATAACACCTGATACTGTATTACTACTCAACGCTGTTTTAAATTCCTAGCCAAAGAAGGGGGAAGAAAGAAAAAGAAAAAAATGAGGAAAAATACTGGAAAGAAATTAAACTATTATTGTTTATAAGTAATTTTTTATCTAGAAAATCAAGAGTATCAATGTACGCTATTAGTGATATTAAGAGATTTCAAAAAGATCAATAGCTTTCCTACATGTCAGCAATAATAAATTAGAAAATGTAATGGAAAAAGTTCCCATCCACAACAAATAATATAAAATATTTAGCAATAAACCAACAAGAAACATTCAAGATCTTAATGTAAAAAACTTCACTGAAGAATTGAATAATAATATGTACCAAGCAGAGCCCTGGTTGCAATGGTTAAGAGCTCAGCTGCGAACCAAAGGTTGGCAGCTCAAATCCACCAGCTGCTCCTTGGAAACCCTATGAGGCAGTTCCACTCTGTCCTATATGGTTGTTAGGAGTTGGAATCAACTCGACAGCAATGGGGTTTTGGTTTCTGTGCCAACCACTGTTCTAACTAGTTTGCATGGACTGGCTCATTCAATTCTAACAGTAATACTATGAATTAGGATTATCATCCTCTCCATTTTATCGATGGGGAAAAAACTGAGACTCAGAAAAATTAAAAAACACACACAAGGTCACACAGCAAAAAAATGACAGGACAGATATTCAAACCCACACAATCTGCTTCCAGAACCTGCTCTGACTCACTAGCAACTAAGAAAATTTTGCAAAAAAAAATTAATGAAGGAGTACATATTATAAAGCATAATAATTTACATACCATATTAGAAGCAGTAGAACAAAACACAGTCCAGAAATAGAGCCATGTATATAGGAGAATTTAATATATATAATGAAGATATTTTGAATCAATGGGAAAAGGACAGGCAATTCAGTAAGTGGGTACTGACACAATGAGACAATGGGTTAACCTTTTAGGTAAAATTCCTACCAGATAAGGTTAAAGATCCAGAAGTAAAACAAAAACCACAAAAGCACTACTTTTTTTGGTTATAATTTTGGAGTATGGGAAACGTTCCTATGTAACACATAAAAGCCGCAAACCACAATTAAAGAACTAAAGAATGAAAACCTTCAGTAAGATAAAACATGACAAACTGAAAGAAAGTATCTGTTCTCTCCCTCTCTCTCTACATACGTATAGTGATATATAATAAGATAGATATTCTGAATAACAAGCACAAAATAAAAATTAGGAAAAAAAGATATGAAAGATGAGGACAATTCACTTCAGAGATACACATTAACGGCTATTAAAAAGAACCAAACCTGTTGCTGTCAAGTCAATTCCAAGTCATAGAGACTCTACAGGACAGAGCAGAACCGTCCCATAGGGTTTCTAAGGAGTGGCTGGTGGTTTCAACTGCTGACATTTTGGTTAGCGGCCAAGCTCTTAACCACTGGGCCAACCAGGGCTCCTTTTATCCATTAAGACAGCAAAAATTAGGAAGGCCAATACAGTCATACCCAGTGTTGGCAACTGTGTGGATAAATGAGAACTCTCACTGTGATAAGAATGTAAATTGGCACTATTTTAAGACAATCCACCAGTACTCATCAAAATTTAAAATTTGGATACTCTTATCTAGTAATTTCAATTCTGAAAATCAGTTCCACAGAAATACTACTACATATGCACAAAGACAAACGTATAAAAGATATTCACTACAGTGTTGTTTGCAGCAGCAAAAAAAAAAAAAAGGAACCACTTGTAAGCCTATTAATAAGGAAATCATTAAATATACATTATATAACAAATATCATGTAGCAGTTAAAAATAATAAAACAGAACTATATGCAATGATGTGGAAATATTTACAAATATACTGAGCACAAATCACAGAACATTACAGAATGATCCCACATATGAGGCGAAACAACCACTATCACCACAATTTACACACAAACATACACACAATATATTCTACTCTTTTGTTTTAAGTGGCTATCTCTGGGGAAGAAAAGTGGATGAGGGGGAAGTAGAGATTCTTTATCCATATATGCTTCTGTGTTTGAATTTTTTTAACTATAATTTTTAAAACAAAGTTACAAATAAACAAGCAAACAATCAAGAGTCATTTAAATCAAAATCAGAACCAGTGGGGGGGGGGACGAATTACTTTCTCTGCATGAAAGAAGAGTTCTTAAACTTGCAACACTTGGTTTTGAAAGTGATTGCAAAACTATGTCCCATATGTATCCAAGCCTTTTTGCTATGAAAAAATTCTAACAGTGTGGAGCTATTCCTGCAATGGTGATAAATTATAGTAATAGTGTTTTGCTTCCTTCATTAAAGTATTTGGGTCTCATTATCCCTAAAAGAGTTACTCAGAACAAAGTTACTCAAAACAAAGGTGTATTTTTCTGTATGGTGGCTAGCCACAAATAACCAGGCAGTTAAACAGCCAGAAAGGTATCTTCTCCACAAGTGCTTGGCTGCTTGCTATCCAAAAGGTCGGCAGTTCAAACCCCACCAACCACTCGACAGGAGAAAGATGTGGCAGTCTGCTTCCATAAAGATTACAACCTTGGAAACCCTATGGGGCAGTTCTACTCTGTCCTACAGGGTTGCTATGAGTTGGAACTGACTTGAAGGTAATGGGATGGGAGGCTGTGCTTCACTGATTTAGACTAATAACCTTTTGTATATTGGTAATGCACTCAGGTTTCAGATGCAACGCTTACAATATTCATTCATTCATTCATTCAAATATTCATTTAAAGATCCAAGACCACACACTTATAAGGACTTCTCTCAACACATAAAAAATAAATGAATAACAGATCAGTAAGTAGCAGTGTAATTCAAAGTTTTAAACTGAAGAGTAGAATTTAAGAATTTGGCCATTCCTTCACAGCTATCTCAAAAGCTGTACTTTAGAAAGACACTAAGAAAACAAAGTATGTCCACCAGTAGCAAGCACCATCCCACAGCACTAACCCATAGCAAGAGACTAGAGTTTGCCAAAGGATATTTATATTTTATAGTATTATTAAAGGAATATTTATCCAGCATCTAATAAGAACTATGCTACATCAACAGTAAGAACAAGCCCTAATGAGCCATTATGAAATTATGCAAAATTTTAAAATTCCACCTAAAAGAAATCTAATTATATTATTTGTATATCTCTGTTTATTATTATTGGAGTTTAGGCTTCTGAATTGATGCATCCATCACAAATGCCTCTAAGCATATGAAAAACATAAAACCATTATAAAAGAACTTACAAATCTCAAAAATAATTATTTTCTCCCAAACAGAAACTGATCTCTGCATAAAACAAGTCCTGGATGAATTTTCTATAACAGCACTTTACACTCCATTATTGCAGTCACTGGTTTACTCATCTGGCTATCGCATCACACAAAATCCACTGACGGCAGGGGCTAACATTCTAACTAACTTGGGCAGGGAGGGGCAACTTCAAAGAAAAAAAATCTTAGTTCTAGCTATGTGCTATCCAACACAGTAGCCACTAGCCATGTGTGGCTATTTAAATGTGAATTTTAATTAATTAAAACTGAAAATTAAAAATTCAGTTTCTCAATTGCACTAGCCACATTTCAAAAGCTCAAGAGCCACATGTGCCTAGTGGCTACTATACTGGACAGATCAGATAGAAAACTAAGATTTTCTTCTTCTCTGGAAAAAGGTATTTTGGACAATAGTATTCCAGACATTATCAGTAAAGATAAAAACTTACTTACGTAAGTTGAAATAAAATTTTGACATAATTTCAAATGCTTTTAAATTTTAACTCACCATGAATCTCTTTGACACGAAGTGTGTTCTGATGCATTCCGTATTTCAAAATCAACTGTTCGAGATAGTAGAAAGTCTTCTTGTGCAAGGTCTAAATATAAATGCACTATTAGATAAATAGATCAAATGAAAAAAAAATCATACCATCTATAGATACAGCACACTAATTTTTTTTAAAACAAAAATAACTGTAAAGATTATCTAAAATGTAACAGTGATCAATTTCCAAAAGTTAATGCTCCAGATATCTAACTACCCCCCCGGTGTCTGAAGTATCTGAAAAGGAAAAGGAGGAGGTTTTACTAGCTGTTTACACTGACAAAAATAAAATACAAGATGGAGAATTCACTCACGACCCTTCTCTCATTACCTTTTGCCTCACTTGAACTACAGCCTTCCAGAAATCCTTAGCTTCTACTCTATGGCAATCTCCACACATTTGGGATTGGATAACATAATCCACCACAAACACTTGCTGAAGGATAGCACCGTTCATCACCTGATAAAGAAGACAATTACACTCCTTCATTCTTTTATTTCTGTTAAATAACAAATATTTCTCTTAATAGAAGATGCTTTAATATTTAATTTAAAATCTTTTCTCATGAATGCTGTGGGGGCATCAATAATAAACCAGTAAAATGTAAAGTCATCTGAATGAATCATACTATTTCAAGAAATATATACAGGCTTAATTTAATTCCTAGATTTTATTAGATTAATATTTAAATTATAATTGAACTGGTATTATTTGAAGAATTATATATATGTATTCATCCTTAGGAGAAAAAAAAACAAATGAAACTCTCAAAAAAGAAAACATTCCTTAACTTAATATTTCTCAAGAATAGCCAACTATCAGAAATCACCTGGGAAGCTTTTTAAATACACATATTCCTGGGCCTCACATCCATAAATTTTGATTCAGTTATTGTGAGTCATCATGACCAGCAAGTTTGAGAATCAGTGCTTTAGCTGATGTAAATTACATCAGTCCTTTTCCTAATAAAAATGGCACTGAAAAGATTATCTTAGCCCACTCATCATTAGCAATGACTGTTCTTCCTAGAGACCTCATCATTTGTGCAGAAGATCCAAAAGAAAACAAGGGCTAAAATTAAGAATTCATTATTTTCCTTTTAACCTGTTCCAGGCATGAAATAACTAGTCATGAAATAAATTAACCACTAGGCCTTTCCTCTCTCTACCTACACTTTAACCATGCTGAGAGAATGATGTACTATGCTTACCTCTTTCTGAATAGTGAGTTTAACTTTAAGTCTCTTAGAATGGGGCTCAGTCCAAACAAAACCTGCATCTACAAGCCGTACCTTCAATAGAATACAAACAAAAAGAAACATAAGTTTCCACCTGAGGAGAAATAATATGAAAGAATAATTCAACAACAGACAGATTTTGTAAGATGCTTAAGGAATCTGTGATTAGCATCACTACACACTATCATCACTAAAGAAAGATTCGCCATCAGAGGTAGAGCAGCAATAACAACCATTAAAAGTATAACTCAATGACTATAATTAATATAATCCGTGCAAAAACATTAAAAGGTTTGCACAGAAAAAAAAAATCCTTTTCTCTAAGAAGTGTACCGCTGTTTGGATGGAAATCATATTTTTTTAGAAGAAAGGATCTAGTGAGAGTATTATCTACTAGAAACCTCACAAACAAAACGTTTCCACTTGGTTTATTCCTGTATGTTACGTATATTAGGTGTTTTTTTTCTTTTTCTCTTTTAAAGAGTTGACACTTGTCAGGAGTCTCATGCACTGAACACACAACAACTCACTGTTGAGTAAGCAGCATCTTCAATCTTCAAAGGCCAAAATCAGTTTGCTATGTGTAGGGAACTGAACACAGCTCAATATGACTGGAATGAGTCTACAGATTGCAAGGGAGGTGGGGGAGATAAGACCAAAGATGTGAATAGAGACCAGATCCCATAGGATCTTATGAAAACATGTTCATCTGAGGGTATCGAGGACCACATAATCAAATCAATCAAATCAAAACAATCACTGACTGTTACGGGAAAAAGTGATTAGAGAACAAGAATGAAGGCTATTGTAAAAATCTAGGCATGAGTTGTAGGCAACCTGAAGTAAGGTAGACAAGCACTAGAAATACCAGAAGCAGAAAGATCCAAGAGCTATTTAAGAGGTAAAATGTAGGACATAATGACAACTGGATATGGGAAAGAGAAAGAGAACAGACTTGAGAATGATGCCTGAGTATCCAGACTGGGCACCTAGGTAGTACTATTTTTCTGACACAAATAAAGACTACCTTGCTTATTGGGTAATCCATCCCTGAATCTACTGTAACCTACAAACCACTCCTCCTACCACCACTATTCGTCATCTTCTAAATGCCGACGACATCTCAGCTTAATTTCAAAGTCAATCATCAAAATTATTTCCATGAGCACTCTCAAATCCCTTGGTCCTTCTCTTACTTTACCTTTAGTCACTTGGCTAAATCATAATTTTGCTTAAATCTAATGCCCTGCCTGCTCTATGCCTTACCTGTGTGGCTGATACAGCTAAAAAAAATACACTATGCTTGACTAGTCTTACTTTAAATAATACTTAGTGTTACCAAGCAATCATACATTGTTCCAGTGCATTCCCTCTCCCACTCTCCTAGAAGACTAGTTCATACCTTCCTCTCTTCCTCTAACATCTAATACCTTCCTCCCTCATTGCTACTGCTCATACTTCTGCATTCTCAATTAAAAAAAAAAAAAAGGAATCAAGACAATTTCCACAAGCTCCCATTTATCAACACCTTCCCTCCTGTTACCACAGATGAACTGCCCATGGTTCTATCAAGACCAACCATTGGGAGACAGATCTTTCTTTTGTTCCATGAAATATTCTAGACTTCCAAAATAACGTCTGGCAGAAAGTGCTAAATATCTGTTGAATGAATAAATTAACAAACAATTGTATTCTTCCACTAGTGTGCTATAGCCCTCTTTTCTACTTCTCACACCAATTGTCTCCTTGCAGCTTCACACATTTTTCCGTTTGTACTGGATCATTCCCAGACAGCTTACAAATATACTGACTACTGTATCTCCCATCTCAAAAAAACATGTCCCTTCCCAACTTCCCCCTCCAGTCACTGCCCTACTTCTTTGTTCCCTTCTACAACAAATCTTAAAAACACTGTCTATACACCTACTTCTCACTTATCAACTATCTCATTATGAAACATTTCACATTTATGACGAGAGTAAAAAATTTACTATCCGAATTAATGAGGCGGTGAGTATGGCGGCAACAGCTGCAGAGCATCCCCTCCCTCAAGGAGGTCTCTGGGCAGCCTCCAAGAAGCTGGACCGCACTGCCCCACGCCCTCCACTCCCTCCTGCCAGGGGGGCGCAGCATCCTGCTGCCATGTGGGTCCAGCCTCCTCCGTGGTGACTGCGCACAGGCAGCCCTGAGTCAACAGGTGCCTATTCTGGGTTCCCAGCTCCTATGTGGCCTGAGGCCCTGCAGCTCAAAATTTCTGTGGGATGGAAAAGGAGGAAAGAAAGAGGCAACAGAGAAGGAGTCTGGAAGAAAAGCATGAAGAGTTTCATGACATCCCAAAGTGAGCTGAACTGGGCCTGAAACCTCCACCTCAGTAGGGCGGGGTACACAGCCAGGCTGCCAGCGCCCTCACAGGAAGCCGTGAGCCTCAGTGACTCGCCAGACCCCGGGCACAAGCAGGCTCCTGGATTGTGTTGAAGGGGAAGCTCTGACCTCATACAGGAGGAAGGTGAAGTGGTTAAGCTGTGGACCCTCCAGTCACACAGCCCAGCTTTATCCAGCTGTGTCTCCTCCAAGCCTCCTTCTCCTCAGAGGAATAATCCATAACTGGACTCAGCACAGTGCTGAGCACATCAGTAAATCTTAGCTGTTATTATTTCTACAATCATATAATCTAAATTTAAAAAAACGGACGCTGAGGTGGGGCCAAGATGGTGGGATAGTCAGACGCTTCCTGTGGTCCCTCTTACAACAAAGACTCGAAAAAACAAGTGAATCGATTATATATGACAATCTAGGTGCCCTGAACAAAAAAGCAAAGTTGAGGAAACAGACTGAGCAGCAGGGGGAGGGAGAGACGGTTCAGAAGCAGCGAAGAGTTGCCAGACCTGAACCAGTGGGAACCAGTACCCTGTAGCTGGCACACGCAGTGAGGCAAGCAGTGGCACTCGGACTCGTTTTCCACATCAGGAGAGACCAAGCAGTGGAGAGTCTACTCAAGCCTCCAGAACCAGTGAAAAGAGGCACTCAATTGGCAAAAGATAGTACATCTAACCTACCACACGGACCAAAAAATACCCCCTTTGGGAAAAACCTCTTTCCTATTTACCTGCCCCCTCCCCGCTCTGTGCCAGGTCCCGAGCCGGCTTCAGTCATTGCTGCATCCCCTCAGCCAGAAGTAAGGACCCATCATGTGCCCTGAGCCATTCTCCCAGCCTTGGGAGAGGGAACAAACTAACAAACAGGAATAAATAATCTGCCAGCTCCCCTAAGCAGAAACCTTAAGAGTAGGTGCAGCTCCTTTGCCTAGGCACAGGCATAAGGGGTCCAAGGACTCTGACTGCCTTTCACCCCTGCATAGCCTTGTGTGGGCCCATTTCAACAGCGTAGTACAACAGGGTATATACCTGAAGCCTAAATTCAACTCTTAGCTATATGGTAGAGAGGCAGGTTCGTGACATTTGACACCACTCTGCCCATTAAGCAGGGTCCTTACCTACCCACATCAGGGGCCTGAGGACTAGTGGCTCCACCCACGCCACCTAGCCACTCGCAACAGGGGTCCAAGAATAAGTGGTACCTCCCAGTCCTTACAGCCAACAGCACTGGGTGCCCACAGTCTGGCTGCAAAAACCCACCCACCTACGCATTCTAGGGAAAAGGGACAAGCTTTCCTCTCAGACACTCAGGGGCAGCCATCAGCCTTCCTCAGCGCATGACCCCCTACTGAAGTCAGATACCTGTGCCTACACCAATCACCCCCGCTTGTCTAAGACTGTACGTGAGAGCCTGTACTACACACTTGATGACCAACTACCTGGACACCTGAGCTGAATCTGTACAAGAAAACTAAATAGACTCCTAGGCTTATATATCTAGTAACAGATCTAACCAGATGGCGACAGGACGTTAGAGCTTCAAGGACGTCAATAATCAAACTAGATCACAAGAGCAGCCTATTTGGGCATATCAAAACAAAACAAAACAAGAAGCTAGGACACAGTAAGCAATCATAAAATAAATAAATATAATAACTTATTGATGGCTTGCAGACAACAGTCAATATCAACTCACATAAAGAGACAGCCCAGGATGGCTTCAGCAAGCTCCCAAAACAAAGAATTATGAAATCTTCAGGAGGAGGAGAATTTCTTGAAATTAACAGAGGTAGAATACAAAAGATTAATACACAGAACTCTTCAAGAGATCAGAAAGGAGATAATGCAAAATGCAGAATAATCCAAGAACATACAGACAAAGCAACAGACGAACTTAAGAAAATTATAGAAGAGCATAATGACAAATTTAATAGACTGCAAGAATCCATAGAGAGACAGCAAACAGAAATCAAGAAGATTAACAACAAAATTTCAGAATTAGACAACTCAATACAAAGTCATAGGAGCAGAACTGAGGCAATGGAAGTCAGAATAAGTCAGACTGAAGATAAAGCACTTGACACCAACTTATTTGAGGAAAAATTAGATAAAATAATTTTAAAAAATGAAGGAACCCTATGTGGTTTATGTGGGACTCTATTAAGAGGAATAACCTATGAGTGACTGGAATACCAGAATGGGGGGATAATAGAAAATACAGAAAGTATTGTTGAAGATTTGCTGGCAGAAAACTTCCCTGATAGCGTGAAAGATGGTATCTATCAAAGATGCTCATCGAACCCTACAAAAGGTAGATCCCTTAAGAAAGTCACCAAGATATATTATAATCAAACTTGCTAAAACCAAGGATAAAGAGAGAATTTTAAGAGTAGTTAGGGATAAACAAAAAGTTATCTACAAAGGACAGTCAATAAGACTAAGCTCGGACGACTCAGCAGAAACCATGCAGGCAAGAAGGCAATGGAATGACAAACATAAAGCCTTGAAGAAAAAAACTGCCAGCCAAGAATTATATATCCAGCAAAACTCTCTCTCAAATATGATGGTAAAATTAGGATATTTCTGGATAAACAGAAGTTTAGGGAACTTGCAAAAACCAAACCAAAATTATACAAGAAATACTAAAGGAAGTCCTCTGGTTAGAAAATCCATAACATC